CTAGCTTTAGTAATACGATTTAATGGTTTTAGCAAGGCAGAGGGAATGGGGAGAAGGGCAAAGCCTGCCAAAGCCACATGTCCCTTCAGTCTCCACTACCTCCAATGCTGGGTTTACAGGACACCCAGATTGTTATGTGGATACTGGGATCCAAACTCATTTTCATGGTTGCCCAGCAAGTGCTCCTATCGTGAGCAGGAAAGCTTTAGCTAAGTCATTTTAATAAAGAACATGGCAGTGAAGGTACCTTCAACCTTCAAGCTAAAAAAAAGCACAATACTGTGTGTGGAGCACACCTTGAGGCCCCTGCACTCAGGAAGTAGAGGCAGGGGGAGCTCTGACTTCCCAGGTACATGGTGGCACAAGCACACTTATGCACACACACAAAAATGTAGACTTTCAAGACAGGGTTTCTGTCTAACAGCCCTGGCTGTCCCGGAACTCTTTCTAGACCAGGCTGGCCTCAAACTCAAGAAATCCACCTGCCTCTGCCTCCCTAGTGCTGGGATTAATGGCGTGCGACACCACTGCCCAGCAAATGTATACTCGTTAAAAAACTAAAAATGGGTCAGATGTGGTGGGATATAACTTTAATCTCAGCACTTAGGAGGGAGATGAGTTTCTAAGCCAGCCTGATCTACTGATCTACATTGTGACTTGCAGAACACACACACTTTCCTTAAAGTTATATTTTTTCTCTATACCTCAGGTGTAACATTTACCCCCTAAATACCTGGTTTTATTTATTTGACACATATAGATGTTTGGCCTATAGAGGCCAGAGGAGCAGATCAGATCTGCCTAACTAGAATTAGTTGTGAATCACCAGATGGCGACTGGGAACCAAAACAGGGTCCTCTACTGTGCTCTTAACTGCTAAGCCCTTTCTTGTCCCTTTTTAAAAATCAAGAGACGGTCTTACTGTATCACCCTTGTCAGTCTGAAACAGCCATGTAGACCAGTTTGCTTCTGCATTATCTGCCTGCCCCCTGCTTCAAGTGCTAGGGGCTAAAGGTGTGTGCCACCACATCTGACCTTCCCGTGTAAGGCTTGGTTTGGTTTTTGTCTTTCCTTTTTCTTTTCTTTCTTTCTTTTCTTTTCTTTTTTTTTTTTGAGACAGGGTCTCTCTATCTAGCTGTGGCTATTATAGGACTTGTTATGTAGACCTCCCTCCCTAGTGCTTAGATTAAGGGTGTGTGAGACAACACACTTGGCATTAAACATCTTT